TCGTGTGCCCCGGGTATATTCTACCTATTGGAAGGTTGCACAGGCGAACTGCTCGGCACTAAAATTCATGCTACATCATGTATAGTCTTTTTTTTATCTTTTTTTTTTATACATAGTATATATTTATAATGATGATGATTATGACTACGGATCATTCGTTTGCCCTTGAATCTCCATAAAGATAGGATCCCAGAAATGAGTGGGTAAAGAGATATCTAGGAAATCTCCAAACAAGGTGTCAATGTCTGCAAACCCATCCTGCATAGATGTATCCAGATCGTCCACCGGAGGTTGAAGGACGTCCATTGCGTTTTCCGGCGCCGGAGATACACCTGCAATTCCATGGCTGTTATTGCGCTGCCTCTTGGCTCGGGGAGAGGAATCATTGCCCTGGGGTGCGGAATTGATTGTTTCTAGCCCCTTTGATACCGAGCTGCCGGTGTTGATTGGTTTGTGCGAGGACTCTGCTACAAGAGGTGAACCCACAGGTTTTGTCCGAGATGATTGTGGCTTGCCTTGAATTTGGCGCAGGGCTTTTTGGCCCAGCCGGGCCATCGCCTCGGCGGAATACCAGTAAGGACTAAGATTTTCTAGGACAGAACGACACGCCTCAAGACTAGCTTTCGCTCGGTCAAGGTGCGTAATGAGTCTGCTCGAGCGGAGTTGTCGGTACGAAACACCCATCGACAAGGTGACGGAGTATGGCACGATTGGAAGAGGTGGTAGGTCATCTGCACACTCCGATGCGACGATGGAGTGAATGCGAACAGCTGCTAGTCCTTGTCTGACCGATGAGAGCCTGGTACTATCAATGTTCTCGGTGGGTCTATACCGACAGGACAAAATAGCAACAGAATGGTAATAGAGCTCCAAGAATCCTGCTCGCGGTTAGTTCGGAGCCCGGATAAGACAGCAAATATATCTATGAGACATACCTAGTGTAGCAAAATCCAGATCACCTTGGGTGTCCTCCCCCACAATATCCTCAAATGCAGGGAATCCCTCTTCCCACCCGCTAGTAGTTTCTGCGGAGGGTCGGTAGAACGAAATCACAGCTGCGAGCAGATCTGACACAGCAAGCCACACCTCAAAGGCCCCTCGTGACGCCTGAGAGCTGACATTGGGTTTCACGATCCCGATGTCGCGGTCAGCTAAAAGAACCGGCCGGCCACCGATACTTGCATGCATCTTGTCCAATGTCCATAGACACCAGAAGAGCTTAGTTAGGGAATCGGTGGAGGTTTGATTTGGCCGGCCGAGATGCAATCCTACTGTCTGGGCCTGGTGGATAGCTTGACAGAGGTGTGAAGCTGCTGCCTCGGCCCCTTCAAGGCCCTCACAGTGCAAAGACATTAGTGCAAGCACGCGGATCCGTGTCAACCGATCCGGTTCTAGCTCTGCATTCATAGCGATAACTAATCCTTTGTAAATCTCAGAACAGAATTGGCGTGACGGGAGGATTGGGCCGCCTGGCACAAGGCGTAAGTGGGAGTTGGCCGCGTGGGTCTTTGCTGCGGCGAGGCATATGGCTTTTTCAAGGAACACCGACGCCGACCCTTCTGATTGAGCTTGGTAAACCTCCTGATCAACTATTGGCACAATGTGATTAACTTTGGAGAAGTAGATAGCGGACAAAGACTGGCGCGTCGCGAGGGGTAGTTGTTCGCATGCTTGCATCCCCGCGGTAAACTGTTGGTGAAGTAATGATGCAATGGTTTGGCCATCGATTGCCCTTTGTACTGGGGCATTGGCTTCATATCCTTCATTTGTGACTTGTTCTCTCTGTACGCTCCGAGGCTTCGCTTTCTGCGCAGCTGGGGAGTTGATCCAGAGCCCGATACGATCCCGAAGAGGGCTCCCAGTCGGCCCATCTAATTTCTCCCGAATTAGGGATTCGGGATTGAGATCGCCCACAAATCGCTCGGTGGCAGGGACCGAAAACGAAGTTGGATTATCGGATGTTGCCTGCGTTGGGTCTATGTGCGAGGGTACAGGAAGCTGTTCGCGATTCAAGTCATCTCTGTGGATGTGCCTCCCAGGGTCATCGTTCAATTGGGGTGATGACTGTCGATTCAGATCATTGAAGGAATCCCATTTGGAAATTAAATGTCGGCACCGTTTCTGTTACAGTGTTAGATGGAGGAATTGCTGGATTCAATGTTCCTATTGTGTACGCACCTTTGATCGTTGACACGTGGGACAAGCTCTCAAGGCTCGAGTGCGATTCCGCGACTGAGGGATATCCGGAAGCCAAGTGAGTTCCATCTAAGAAAACCATTTACGGAGGTGCAATTCTTTTTTTTTTTTAAGAAAAAACAAAAAGTAGTATAGATTTAGTTATCTAATTCCCCTAATATTCCTAGGGGTTGTTGTTAATTCCTCTTTGGATGATCTCACCGCTGCCTTAAAATCCAGTACCGCCTTCCTAATATGGTAATTATAGAAATTGACACCTGGATCGGTCAACCACTCTGCACACCGCCTTCCACTTTCTTCCACCGCTTTTATATCAAACAACCTCACTCCATATAGTAAGTAGACTTGGACACATCCAGCAGCAAGCCAGGCAGAATATAACAAAATTTACTAATAAAATGCAGGTATTTTTACTATGTAAACCAGAATTAATATAGGAGGCAGAATATCCATCCATATATGAATGGAAGCCAACACAATGAGCTCATATCTTCAAAACCTTCTCTCTCTACCCTATAAAGATTCACCCACCTCCACTCATTTTTACTAGTGCAGATCCCTATACTTTCTCTTAATATAATCCTTTGTCTAGTTTTATACCTCCTTAATAGGGTTTAAATCAGGTAAAAGATAGGCCATTCTATCATAAACAACCCTAAGCTCCTCAAAGAAATCAAGAAAAACCACCAACGGCGAGGATTCTTCCTTGTTGCTCTGAATAGGAGGCTTTTGCCTGCCTCTGATGCTAATAAACAGTACTGAGCAACAAATATGCTTCAAACTCGTTTTCATATGTAAAGAAACGGTGGCAGTGTACTCTTCTATTGCTCTTATCGATAATGAGCGACCTCGGAAGCTTAATTAAGCTTACGTCGTGTATGTATTTTCCTACTAGGGATCTTGATGGCCTTAGGCCTCTAGATACTCCTTGCGGACCGAAGTATCAGTTAGTTTAGCATCTTGTTTGGCATCTAGTTTGGCATCTAGTTTATTCGTTTGTTTGGGGTATGTTGCTTCGCTTCGCTCCGCAACTATCGATGGATTAAAATGACAATTAGCTAGTGCACATTATACAAATGGGTCCGAAATCTATCTGACATGCCATGGATGCGCTTGAACCTTTGAACTCCTTAAGTATCCCCCGGCTGAAACAACATGGAAACAAACATAGCCAACGCAGGACTCTTCTCGGCCAGGAGGATGACATGCATGCATGCATGCAGGTGAAGAAGCCTAAACTAGACTTGAAGAATTTTCAGCCGCTTCAGCCGCCATTAGGGCCTCAATGGCATCGTCATCATCATCAAACTCATCAACCTTGCCAGGCCGGACTTTGACATCCTCAGTCTTGCCAGATTGAGGCTCAACTGGCACCTTGTTGGCCAAAGCGGTTGAATCTTCCTTGTCGGAGACACAAGGAGCCAACCGAGGATTTTTGGACGGTACTAAGCTCCAATCAATGATTTCATCTTCTCCGTATCGCGAAGCAAGCCAATCATTGCACTTCTTGAAGTGCCCGTTTTTGAACTACATTATCATCTTGTCAGCGAAAAAGGGGTTTGAAGGACAAGTCGATAGAGAACGATCCACTTACAAAGCCATTATGCGCGCTCAGAGGACTGGGATGCACGGATTGTAGGATGCAATGCTTCTCTTTGTTGATTTTTGCTACTCTGGTTCCGGCAGGCCGGCCCCAAGCAAGGAAGACGACGCCGTTAGTTCGTACTCGAGCAACGAGGTCGATAACCCTTTGGGTGAATTTCTCCCAACCCTTGTTGGAATGACTGTTGGCTTGGTGAGCACGAACAGTAAGGCAAGTGTTGAGCATCAGGATGCCACGCTCAGCCCAAGGTATGAGTAGCCCTCCCTTATCGGGCGGTGACTCGAAGTCAGGATAGTCGATCTTGATACCCTTGTAGATATTGAGCAATGATGGCGGGGCTCGCACAGGGGCACGGACGGAGAAACATAGCCCATGAGCTTGGTTGTGATTGTGATACGGATCCTGGCCAATGATGACCACTTTGACATTGTGCAGGGGGTGTGTCGGGACCTACAATATACGGCCTGGTCAGCATACGGATTTGGCCCAAATAGAATGTGGTCCGATTTACCAAGAATAGACATCCTCCTCCGGCGGGAAGACCTTGACATTGGAATCTTTCTCCTTCTTCAGGAATCGCTTCAAGTTCAAGAATTCAGTGCTGACCACTTCATCCTTCAAGTGAGCGAGCCAACTCTCATCTAAGGTATCAATTTCCAACTGTAATAGTTCCTTTTGTTCTGGCGTCAGGGAAGCAACCCATTTTGCCTTATCAAAGCTGCTTGACCGTGGGGTTGGGGTTGAAGTTGATTGATTGCTCGGGGGGGTTCGGCTTTGGAGCTCCAAAAAATGCAGTGATGCTTCCACCTTTTGGTTTTTTCGAGTCAGGGCCGGAGAGATGCTCCGATTTTCGTTTTATGGCAGGGCTGACCATGGTGAATGGGTAAATCTGAAGATTAATGGAATTGATCACAGAACGTTGGGAAGTTGTCGGGAGCTCCGGGGCGATAAGAGATCGACGCGTGTCACGCGACGCGATTGATCAGCAAGGCTGAGCTCCAGGGTTTGGCCGAAATCTATGTTGCATGTTTGTTGTACAGGATAGAATGTATAGAATTGATAATATTAGTAGAGTTATAGAATGCTAGAATGATTTACTGATTTACTCTACACCACTATATGTCTGGACTTTGGTAACAACAATCTACGGGGAATAAATGGCATCGAATATAGTCCGAGTTCAGACAAAGAATACAACATATGAAGTTACACATTCAAAAACCGAGTGAGCGCTTAAAGCTCATCGTGAATATCCTTCTCTTCGGATGCAGGAGACTCGGTGGCCTTTGGGGCCGCAGTGACCTCGGCACGCTCCTCGGGCGTCTTGGCGCCATCGGCCAGGCCGTCCACCTGGTACTTGCCGTTCTCCTTGATGAAGGTAACGAGGTCCTCAACAGTGCGGGAACCGGCGTACTCAATAGGGGAGTCCTTGGCACCAGCGGGGTAGAGCTTGATAGTGGGGAAGCCAGTGATGGAATCGGGCACATCGTTGGCAGTGGCGTCAACCTTGGCCACGGTGACCTTCTCATTCAACTCAGGGACATCGGCGTACAGGGCAGCAAGCTCGTCGTACTTGGGAGCAAGACTGGTGACAGTGAGTTAGAGATGGGACAAACAATAGACGAACTGTATCAGAACTTACGACTTGCAGTGTCCGCACCAGGGAGCGTAAAATTCGACCAGGACATCCTTCTCATTGTCAATGACAACCTCCTGGTAGTTGCGGCCAACAACAACAGTAACAGATCCCTCCTGAGTCTCGGGAATGGGCTCGGACTTGAGGCTAGGGTCAACCTTGCCGTCAAGAACGTCCTTGATGAACTTGCCGACATCCTTAGCATCAACCTTCTTGTTCTGGTCGTAAGGGTACTTGGCGTTCTTGGTAGTGTCCTGGATAGCGAAAGCAGGGAACTTCTCAGGCTCAAGATTGAGGTTGCCAGCGTGAGCGCCGAAGAGCTTCGCATCAAGGGTAACAATGTTAATAGCTCCACGGTGGCTCTCAGCGATGGGACGGAAATCAGCAGCGAATTGCTCGCGCTCCTCGGGAGTCTCGGCGAAGATGTAAGCCAGGGGGATACCGGCCTAATCATTGTAGAAAGTCAGTTTATTTTCTTGCTCAAATGCGGGACAGAAGAAGCTAGACATACCGCCATGTACTTTGAGTAAGTCTCGGGACCAAGCTCACCAACAAGAGGAGTGCTAGCGGTCTTAACCCATTCGAGGATGGCCTCATCCTCCAGCTTTCCGTCGTACACGGCCTTCTTCTCATCGAAGTCCTTGTAGAGAACAATCGAGGGCTGCTTGGCGCCCTCGGCCTTAGCGAGAGCAGCGTCGTTGGATGCAGCGAAGAGGAAGTTGTCACGCTGGGATTCAGCGAACGAAGTGAAGCTCTCGTTTGCGGCCTTGTCATCAGAAGCCACATATCCGATAATCACAATCTTGTCCAAGGCCTTGAATTCCTCCAGGTTCTCCTCATTCACGTTCGAGACGGCGGGCATGGACTGCTTGGTCATGTATGAAACAATTCTATTGGAGTAACGTGTTAATTTCCAAAAGACAACAACCCGAAATTCCGAATGACTTACGCGTCGGACTTGCGGGCACCAGCGTAGGGCTTGTGTGAATCGGGGCCACGGAAGACCTTCAGAGTAGGGTAGCCATCAACTTCGTAGGTTCGGCACAGCTCCTCCTCCTCGGTGCAATCCACCTTGACCACAGGTATATCCTTGGCCTTCAGCTCTGTGGCAGCCTCTTCATACTTGGGGGCAAGGGCCTTGCAGTGACCGCACCAAGGCGCATAGAACTCAGCAAGCACCAAAGGGTGCTCCTTGACGAATTCATCAAAGGTATCAGTTGTCAAAGTGACGACATTGGCGTCAGCGTCGGCAACTTCGGGCTCAGCAGCGTGAACTGCTGCTGTAGCTCCAAGGAGGCTTAGGACTAGTGGGGCGAAAGACCGCATAATGAAGAAAAGACTCTTAAATCAAACAAAAAGCCCAAAATGCTCAAGGTTGAATAAAAGAAAAATAGAGACAAGCTTAAAAGGTCCAGAGAGGGAAGGTTTTATTTGGGGAGAGGGGGAAGGGGGAAGGGAATGGGAACTTGAGGACAGTTTGTTCACTAAAGGTGGAGCTTTGTGACTGGGCTATGCGCTATGCAGGGCTGCAAGGGCGGACCTTTTCCCTTAGGTACCTGGTACCTGGGTGACCAACCCAATTTATAGGGAGATTGAAAGTACATGGCACTTATTATAATAACTAACTAGTTAACTAGTTAACTATACATGCATATGTATGTTGTAGTAATAGTCTACAATGGTAACGGAGACATGCCCTTGATATTTGACACATATCTTCATTGTTGACAAGTGGTCTTTATTTACTTAGTTATTAACTCTTAGTTATTGACAGGACTAGCTAGGAAGGCTTTCTGTTACATTTAAGATATATGTCCATGCTCCTACTATGGACTGGAAACCCCCGGGCGGACTTTGATGAGAACTTTTCTGCAAGTTCTGGCCGTATATCCTTGAAATGTAGGTATTCAATACCTGGTTCCGTCTTTTCTTTGATGATTTTGTGGACTTTGTGGATACTGCGGAATGACGAACCGCAACGACGATGGTATCCTCCGGAAGTGCGCTGAAGCACTTGCGGTCAATGGCGACAGAGTTGTTTGACATGTCTGTTTGGGCCTTGGTGATGGGACCTTCATAAGAGGTCGGGAAGTGCTGACATTTTGGCGCGCGAAATTAGTCTTGGTAAGCTTTGTATAAAGTTTCGATGAATGAGTCATCCTTACCTTTTCGATTGGATGAAAGGAAGTTGGAAGGGAGAGAAGGCGAGAAAGAGAGAAGAGAGAAGAGAGAAGAGACAAGAGACAAGAGACAAGAGACAAGAGACAAGAGACAAGAGACAAGAGACAAGAGACAAGAGACAAGAGACAAGAGAGAGAGATGAGAGAGAGATAAGAGAGAGATGAGATTGAGAGAGAGGCGGAAGGTAAGAGAAGGAAGGAAGGCATGGCCAGGAAGGAGAGGCTTTCCCACCTTGGCTCCAGCTTCAGGTTGATGAGAACGGATTGAGAACTTTTCGTCATTCAGGATTTGTTCATCTTGGTCACAGGCTTGGATCCCCATCGATTTCAGCGCGAGTAGGAATCCTTCCATCTAGATGGCGATGGGTGCCTCGAGCATACAACTCATTAGGACTATGTTAGATCCACAATCTTCCACTATAAGTCATTCTTGTTCATGTTATTCAAGATGTTGGTCATTTGGAAAGTCAGCTAATGATTAGTGTCTTATTAGTGTCTTATTATCGTCTTTATATTCGATGCATATCTGCATCAGAAAAAGCCCGACACCAGAGCAGTAGTGGACTCAGCTCTATTCTTTAAATGATGAACTCCAGAAATAGGAAAAACAGCAATTATCTTACTCGTCAACATCACAATCACAGTCAAACATACTCCGTACTTTAATCTTCACTCTTCAATCGAATCCTCTATGGTTTGACTGTCAGATATGGTCCCATACTCAGATCCTTGTGGTATGCCATCCAATTCGGCTCCCAACGCTAAGGCATCTCGTTTTCCACGGTCAACATCCACCAAAAGCATAAGTGGGAGTGGCACAATAATTAAAACCGCCAAGAACACAAACGCCGGTCGAATCTCACCATAGCGATCCGTAATGGCGCCAACAATGGCCGGCCCAAAAATGCTAGACCCTTTGTCGGTAATTGCATAAAGCGCGTAGAAAGCTGCTTCGTAACCTGGGGGTATGAGTTGCCCGAAGAAACTTCGACAGTATGATGACAGTCCACCCATGACAAGGCCATAAACGGCCCCCAAAGGATACATTTCCCAAGACTGATGAAGACCAAGCCCCACGCGTTGCACAGCAGGAATGAACCCAAGAAGACCATATAGCGGAATGAGCTCAAACAGGATAATGCACGCAATGATTGTCTGCGAGGCTCGTAGATTGAAGAAATTCGATATGTAGCTCCAAGAGAATGCACCGAACACTCCTGCAAGCATGACGATCACATTGATCAGTCCTAGGGCAGCAGGCTTCATGTTCAGTTGGGTTTTTGCAAACAGTACAGCAGTACCACTGACAGTGGCAATTCCATCACTGAGAAGGAACCAGGCAGCAAGGAAGATCACTATATCTTTCAGTTGCCGCGCCCGCGTCACTGTTTTTCCAAGAGATTTCCAGGCATATGCCATGTATCCGATCCACGAATGGAGTGGTTTGCCGTCACTGTCCAACAAAGGCGGGCCTGGCCGAGTGCGCAGCCACAAAGCTGCCGGGATGGTAAAAACAAACCACCATAGCCCAATCAAGAAAAGTACAAGGCGTAGTGAGAATGTTGGTGGGCGCACCACCATAACAACTAAAATAGAAAACATCTGTAGAATCACTGCCCCGATATAGCCTATACCCATACCATTGGATGAGATTCTAGTGGAGAGTTTAAGCTCCAGGGAAGTGATAGTGGCAGCGGACGTTTTTGTGGTTTCCCTGTTAGGCCGGAGTAGCGGCGTGGAGTCATTCACGTTTGTTCGGTCAATATCCCCGGTCGACGATAACAAAGGGCCGCCCCTGGGGCTCGTCACATTGTCACCTGACGGCGTCGACTCTTCACCTTCCTTGAGCGATGGGTGGTGGCGGACCAGAACAGGTAGAAACGAATTTAAAAGGACAAAAGACGCACCAAAACAAGTATTTGAGATGATTGCAAACAGTCCACCTAGGAGGTAAACTTTGGGGACCACAACCAAAAACAACATGGTCGCAATCGAGCCAATGAAAGCAAAGACAATCAAGAGTTTCTTGCGATAGGTTCCATGGTCAGCGGCCCCTGACATTGAAATTATCAGGACTGCCTGAACCAACACGCTCAGTGAAAAGGTATACAGCGCAAAGCTTGCCGTGTTGATTTCAGCGCCGAAGAAGTAGATGATACATTGGCCACCATCTGACACCTGGGGGAGATATACTGGTACATCTGAGCCTGGTGGTGGCAGCGAGGGGCTCCAGGTTTCGCTGCATGGTGTGGTTTTGTCAGACAGCAGAACACCCCGATCTCGAGCCATTTGCTCCAGCGTTATCGGAAGAAATGAACCTTTCTCAGATCAGATAAAGTCTAGGACGAACATTTATGAAAGCGGAAGCACACATACCCATGCCACAAACGACAAAGACCTCGGCCGCCCAGCCATAGCAATACCAGCCAGCAAGCTCCCTGTTGCTGGTCGGCCGGGTGTCATCACCTGGATATTGAGACTCAACGTTCTCCTGTATACTCATTGCTGGCGAGGGAAAGCTAAATTCATGACCAGAAAAAGAACGAAACAAGAAAGCATACAGTATTGTAAGGTGATACAGCTCAGTTAAAAGTACTTGGGTTAACAATGCCCAGGCAGTAGTGTTGGAGTGTTGGGTGATGGGATTAAAGAGGTGAGGACATATGAAGGAAGGGTGAATGTGGACTTGCTGGGGGTGAAGGCTCTTACAAGGTATGGTATTGAGAAGTCAATGAGAACTTCAAGGCCAGCGTTAAATTGTACTGTTGTTGTTGTAGCAGTACTTCTAATAATACATGGATTTATTACCATACTGACCAGAGTGATACATCATAATACCAGGCACCAAGGCATGAAGGCATTAAGGCATTAAGGCATTAAGGCATCAAATGGAAGGCGGTATGCAGCGCATCGCGCTTTCATCATATCATCTTGGGCTTGAGATATTATTATTGACCCAGTCCTCTTCTGCGCACTCATTTTCTTCCTAGGTGCTTCTTCTCCAGACGATCTATGAAACTTTAAAATTCGTCTCAGTTACTTTAACCGTCACTCTACCTTTCGTTTCCTCAGCCCACCAGATTGTTTTCCTACATTACTCGCATTGCGACAACCCTGCTATTATCCTTGAAATAATCAAGATCCCCGATCGCGCCCCTCGTCACAGCCAGTTTCTAGACAGGTCGAAGTTGAAACCTGTGCGATCCGGAGCATTTTTCACTGATTCCGACCCCAATCCGTTGCCATCCTCGCCCGAGCCTCGACCGATCGTTTGAGGCCCATTTGAAGCCAAAGCCGTACGTCAAGCTCCTCCGATTATGAGCGTGGCGTTCTGTTTGCACGGCCCGTGAAACGCATGGCATCAGATTGAGGACCTACCTGTGGCCTTATCTTTGATTTCGGCTTCGCTTCCTACCCCAGCGCCGACTGGATCGAGCCCGGAGCAGTGTCTGTGTTGCGTCGCTTGTTCCGCGCCGTGCAGAGGGCCGAGGAGGGGGAAGCTTTGACGGACACTCAAGCAGCTAGGCTGTGCTTCCAGAAATGCCCGGTGTCGTCATGGACAATGTCAACATTGAGGGATCTGTCCGCCGACCGGGCCTCAATGAGGCCAGAAATGGTGTACCTAATGCATTTGATAATGCCGATAAACCTGATCAACTCTCTGGTATGAATGGATCAGTTTACGTCAACGGCGCATCGAGCGGGATTGCTGCTTCGAATCAACATCCAAGAATGCTCGCAGATAAGGCAGTGGAAATCGTCCCGACATCGCCTTTCAAACTGCCACATATTACACAAGGGTTCTTTCCGTTCGGGACATTGGTCAATCGCTCAGTACAGGAATGTTGGAATGAGCTCTCGGAGTTGATTACAGAATTGGCTACGATACAAGTGCCAGCCTCGGGTGGTTCGATATCAACCAATGGAAAACCAGCCGGCAACCAGTCATCGGAGAATGTGCATAAGAAGTTGCGACTCTTGGATTTTGCTCATGCGAAGAGAGCCGAGTTCATCAAACTCCTAGTCCTCTCGCAATGGAGCCGCCAGGCTGCAGATGTCAGCAGACTCATTGATATCCAAGGATTCATTCGCACACGACACCAATCATACGACGCAGCTCTCCAGTATGTCGGTGAAGTGAAACGAGATCTTGTTCGAGCACAAGTCGCCAACCCGGATTTAAAAACGGCGGTGGAGGTGTTATCAAAGGGACGAGTCGCCTCTTTGCCAGATGTGAGTCCCCCCAATGGATTCGCAACCTGTAACAATCTAACATCCTACCTAGCTCGGTTATAAACCTCCTACGCCACTGACAGCACGAGCAACACTCAAAAAGCTACTTAAACTCAATCGAATCATTAGCGTGCGATTGGCATTACACGATTCAGTGCCTCCGCCATTGCGCAATTACCGGGTCCATGATGGCCGGGTGACATTCACAACTTCTGGTGAATTTGAACTTGATCTCTCAGTCGCGGAAGAGTCAAAGACTTCACAGTTTTTCTTCGTGGACATTCGCTTCCTTTTCTCGCCATCATCGCCTATTCCAAAAGGTCGAATATTCAATGAACTTGATGGTAAGATTAACGATCTACTCCGTGATGATGGTTTGGCGGGATGTTTCCAATTTCTCCATGGTCTCGTTCTCACGAACAAAATCAACGTTCTTTTCAAGCAGGCCGTGGACCTTTCTCGGGGCCTCTGGGCAGATGCGTTGCGTATCGAGCTACTACATCGAACACTTGTTGTTCAGTACTGGCCTCAGAGATCGGGGCCAAAGAGCTGGCTCGAAATCGGAGTCAAGAGTGGTCACCGCGGTGGCAGTTCTAGCGACCCGAAGCCTGGGATATCCCATCTCGGCTTCCGATGGATGCGTGACGGCCAGCAGGTCAGCAGCGATGCCATCAGGTTTAACCCAGGAGATCTATCTATGGAGCTTATTCTGAGAAGTGTCATTGCATTACACACGTCACATCTTCTCTCTGCCGCATTTACCACCCTCAAAAAGCATGTTCTTTTCTCGAATCACACACTATCACTACAGGCTCAACTATCACCAACGGAACCTGGAGATTGTCGCCTTGATGTGCAACTCACAGCCTCACGTTCTCTTCGGGTTTCTATCGAACCTATGTCAGGGTCCATTACCATGTGTAGGACACCACATGTATTGGAACGTCTCGATGGTGATCGAGGGCTCTATAAATCATCGATAGAAGAGATATTATCTCGTGTCGCCCGCCTGCGATGTACCACTGCAGTGGATGAGATTGACTCCGGCACAAAGGCACTCGGCCTCGAACCTGTGAACCAAAGAGTACTTGGGCTTGATCCCCGCAAGCTGTTCCCTCCTGGTGTAATGCGGACCGCGTTCTTCACCCATCGGCTTTGGAACCGGCACTGGGTCGCTGCAGCGACCAGTAGCATGGATGGTGACCGCTGGTGGCTTGTTCAACTTCGGCCAACCCAGCCAACGAAAATGGGACAATTTCATGGTATTGGCGATCATAGCGTGGCTGCTCCGCAGGCCCACGTGGTCAGTGAAACTCTCGTTCCTCCGCAGAGACGACTCAACTACACAACATGCGCCGAGCTGGTCCATGGGATCACTGGAATCCTGGCGATCCATGCAAATGCGCGTTATCTAGCAGACTTGCCAGCCATGAATTTCTGGCCAACGTTCAAAGAATTGCAGCTAGAAACGGATCTCACAGTCCCGGATCTCTTATTCAACTATAACTCGTCCACACTTCCACCTGCTTTCCGGGTCACCTTGCCCTTCGGGGCAAAGAAACAGTCGCAGTTCAAAGAAATGATTCGACTGGTTTTCCATGGAATCGACAGCCAGACCCGTTCTGTCATAATTATGGCTCACGGCAGTTTGAAAACCCGCATCAAATCCTTAGTCCCACTTGTCTCAAGTATGGATCCTTCTTTGATTATTCAGGACAAGGGTTCTGGCTTCGCGCTTCGTTTGCTTGTGCCAGCTGGGCATCCTGTCGTTGCTTGTCTGTTTGAACTCTTGCAGCGACTTGAGTGTGTTCTCTCTATTCTCCAATCCCTCATCCGGAAAGGAATGGAGCCCCGATCTTTGTCCTTGTCGCGGATTGATTTTGCCTACGGGCCCGAGAACAAATTCTCCGCTTTCTTTGATATGAGCGCCAAGGGACCTTCTTTATCTGACTACGTTGACGTTGCGGATGCTATTTCGAAGACTACCCCCATTTTCCAACTGAAGCTGGGCATCCAATTCGAAAGCTCCAGTCCTCATTGTCGCATTCAAGAACCCCTCACTGTGGCTTTGAACCAGCGGTTCACTGAATCCGGCGTTGAATCAACCCTCCAGCTCTTGGCTACCACACTTCCTCTGTTGCGGTCATTGGATCAGGTAACTCCTCAGTCGAATCAGACAGATCTGTCAATTGTGCAGGTCATCGCGCGTAAACCGACTGTATACCTGATTCATTATCCTCGGCTGAGGTCTCGTTTCCACTTGAGTGCAATGATGCACCAGGACCACTTGGTCTGGATGTTAAGGGATGCCAACGGAATGGACCAGTCTGGCCGGGGCCAGGTCGCAGCTTTTATACAAGAGAAACTCTACCAGTCCAAAGGCGATGGCTGGAATGGCCTTGGAGATGGAGCGGTAGCGAGTATCAACAAGGTTGGGAACCTCATACTCGAGCTGCACGAGTGTCTTAATGCTCCGCATCTTCAACTCGACAAAGAAGTGGAAGTCAAACCTGAGCAAATTCCGAAACAATTGCACATCAAAGGTTCGACATCTGCCGCTCCGCAGACAATGGGAAATACCGATGTCATCACCATTGACTAAGCATTGTGATGATCCATGATGACCATCCCCGTCTTCCCCAGGACTTCGGCGTAGCTCAATTATCTTTGATTTGAGCCTTTTCCGTTTTAATGCAAGAGCAACTACAATGTTCTCTTCACGATGTATTCCTAGGTCTCAATATGACATAGCATCTAAATGTATTTCTGTTCATGATGCGTGAAATTTAAGTAAATCGTTCCGATTAGGTTAACAGCGCTCTTCCCTGATCTTCCCTCGGTTGCGTAACACATCGTACTCGATCCATCTGGCCATGGGAGCACCACCTTCTGGTAGCAGGCGCCCGGGGTTCATGACATGACAGCCCTCGTAGGTCATGCAAAACGGTGCAGCCTCGGGGTCTGCAAGTACCAATGCGGTTGGCAGCGGGTACAACTGCAGGGCTGAGGCATGGTCCCATAGGACGGGCCGCAATGGTAGCGGAAATGGGGAGATTGTTCCCTGGTCCAGAATGGTCTTGACGAGTCTGCGGGCCATTGACGCTCCAGACGAGGCGGTTGCAGCCTTGGTTCCCTGTTGCTGGCCCATGTCTTCGATCTGGCTCTTGTCCTCAGCAAAGACCGCATCACCAGCAGTACTGCTCGAGGGTTCATGCATTGTAACATCTGACTCGGTGTCAAGGGTGGTGTTGACAGCGCTGCGTCTCAACCTTCCCGATATATCATCTCGGAAGATGGCGATGTCATGCACTGGCCCGAACCACGAAAGACGTGCCGGATTTGAGGTCCAAATTGCATCACCCGCGGGTTCGGGGGCTTGTGACCTATTCAACTCTGAGTTCGCTGTTGCAAATGCACGTCTGACTCGAGAGGTGAACAATTCCGGGATGGGTTGCCGTGGTACTGTTGAGGCTGCACCAGCAGAGAATGCTGATGCCCAAGGATCATTATCACCAGGCACGAATAAAAAGGTCGAGTGTTGTAGCAACGCGGGGAAATCAGATAAGACTAGCGCTAATGAGTCAAAGTATTCCTTGTATTCGATACTCCCAGCTCGGCCACCTCCACTGATGATAGCTTTCTGCGAAAAATTACCGATCAAGACGAAGGCTTGTGGGCGTTCAGGAAGAGACAGATCATTGTAGGTGCTGAAGACCTTCTTCAGGGCGTCCAATGTCTTCATGTTGTCTAGATTGACTTCGCTTATGATAGCGACTTTGAGCCTGGTTGTTTCTGGTGCATCCTGGTCCCCCGTAGGCATTTTTCCTGAATTCTTCTCATCCGTGCACCCTGGGCACGTTCACTTCCCAATCCGAGAAAGTCAACCCATCCAAATCCACCACTAGAGCTCAGCTGTCCGCTGCCGTGGCGGTTGCTTGTTCCTAACGAGATATCACGTCGCTCACAGGGAGGTCCGCAAATTGATATACCGACAAACTGGCCTCCGATTGCACCTCCGATTCCTGTATTTCCTCCCAACGCAGCACCTTTTACCATCTCTTCCTCTTCATATATGCCATCGACAAGCACAATCATGCCTGGCGCAAACCACGCGCCATCTTCGGGTATCATTCGGGCATGGCTCAAGTCCAATGCTACACTTCCAGTCAAGTCCACCAGGGATAAGTCTCCGGTGGGGGAAATTGCAAGCAATCCTAATAGTAGATGCGAGGTTCCACTTCTGCCGAGCAAATTTGCGATTGGCGTCAGTTTATAGGATTGTCGGTGGGCAATATTGGACGATGAACGTTGCAATGAAGGAACACCCGCGACACCCAATGAACTTTGAAAAGATTCATTGCGGAGCAATCGCTGATACACAAGATTGTATCGGTCTCGGAATAGTGCAGTTTTGTAAGATGGTGATGGAAACAAGGATGGCTTTGACTTCATGGCTTCGAAGTATTTCTTGTCGACGTTATACGTCAAGCGCGGAAGATCAAAAGCGTCAATCACCTTGAGCCAATGCCTTGGGTGAAGTGACAGCTGTGTGTCGTCTTCCTCGGCAGTCCCTTGTTTAGAGGTATCACCCGCTGTTTCAACCCGCCCATCGTCTACACCCAGGGTGGATGCCTTCAAGGAACCATCTTGGGAAGTCGTTTTCCCAACAACAACCCTTCCACCACTCATACTACCCTCGAGGGTTTGCAGTATTGTCTTTAGGGAAGCCCCTTTCCCTTCCTCAACAATTACGCCTCCGCCGGCTCTTTTCCATATCTTGGCAACCTCATCCAGAACTCGCTCTGCTAAGCCTTCCTCGCGCCATCCCGAGCCACAGTTCTTGCCCACAAACACTGCTAGTGTTTGAAGCGCAGATGATGATATTGTGAGGTTATGTTTGCGAGTGAAGGTTCGAAAGGCTACTGGGCGTAGGGTTGATGGAGGGAGTAAGATTGGTAAAATGGAGGTTTTGGAGGGAGGCGCATTTCCCTTGGGTATTCGAAATGGACGTGCTGGTGTGCCAAATGCAGGCGAAGAAGAAGGAATAGGGTCCCCTGTCGCCATTTTGAAGCGATCAGGATGTCGCGGTGTTGAGGCGTCCATATTGTGTCAAGATTTCAAGAAACGCGAAAGAGATAAATTTGGTATCGGTTCCGAAGCTCAAGCGAGGATCAATTTAGAATAGAAAAGTCTCTGGTAAAGATTTAGATAAAATGCATAATAAGGGAGAAGAAGGGAGAGTACAGAGACACAGAGAGAGAGAGTAGAGACAGAGAGAGAGAGAGAGAGAAGTCAATTAAATCGAAGACGCGTGACACGCGCGCCGGAGCTAAAGAAGCTTCTTCCAATCTCTTTCTCTCTTTTTCACTTCACTCGACTCTCCCACTTTTAGTCTTAATTTTTAAATTGTTAAGACTATCTTTTTTCTTTCTCAATTTGTTTCTTCCCTCTTTCAATATTCTTCACTAAAATCGTATGCATCATGGCTGATCCACAAGGCGTTCAATCCCCCGTCTCGGAGCAAGAGAAACGAACTCAACTCGATGACTTAATCGCACGGGCTGCTGCAAAGGATGCGACCAAAGATCATGACTCTGCCTCCGAGTTGTACTCCCAAGCTACTGAGCTTCAGGCCGAACTCAACGGCGAATTGTCCCCCGAGAATGCCGATTTACTCTATGCCTACGGAAAGTCATTGTACAATGTGGCTGTGAGTAAAAGTGATGTCCTTGGCTCCAAGGTAGCCGGTGAACAGCAGCCGCAATCCGGCACCGCATCTTCAACAAATACATCTTCCGCTGGATCGAAATCCACTAGTGATCCCCTTGTTCAAGACGCGATCGCCAATTCTATGACGGAGAAGTCGACTTCCGCCAAGCGCGCAGATAGAGAACCAGAGCCCACAGAATCCAAGCCATTCTTCCAGTTTACAGGAGACGAGAATTTTGTCGACTCCGAGGACGAGGATGAGGAGACCGCTGAGCAAGCCGAGGAGGATGAAGAAGAAGACGACGATTTCGCCAATGCCTTTGAGGTCTTGGATCTTGCCCGTGTTCTGTACCTCAAGAAGCTGAGTGCTGCAGAGGAAAATGATGGGGGCAAAGGAAAATCGACTGTGGTGTCCTCGGACATCAAGCACATCAAAGAAAGGATCGCAGACACGCACGATCTTCAAGCTGAAATTTCACTGGAAGCAGAAAGATTCAGCGAAGCGGTTACTGATTTGAGAACTGTTCTCGAATTGAGGAACTCGCTATATCCTCTAGAAGATCCCTCTGTTGCTGAGTGCCATTACAAGCTCTCCCTCGCCCTAGAATTCGCATCAGTCCAACAAAGTGGCGAGGAGGAAGGAAATGATAAACCCAAAGTTGATGAAGAGATGAGGAACGAAGCTGCCACCCAAATGGAACATGCCATTGCGAGCTGCAAGGTCCGAATGGCCCAGGAGGAGAAGAAACTCGAGGCCGATAAAGATGGGGATGAGGACAAGGCAACTGCGACAAAGCGAAAGATCACCAATGTCAAGGAGATCGTCACTGAGATGGAGCAAAGGGTAAGTGTTTTCTCTCTTGTCTGTCTTTTCTATATATGGTTCGAACTTGTTAATAATGAATTAAATCAGCTTGTTGATCTACGCCGACCACCTGTCTCAATCGAGCAGAATGACCAAGCCAACGAGGCTATGCTAAAGGGAGTTCTGGGTCAGATTATCGGTCAGTCTGCGACAGACCAGAAAGCTCAGCTTGATGCGGCTAGCAAGGGAGCAACAGATCTGTCTGCCTTTGTCAAACGTAAGCCTGCAAAGCAGACATCCGACCAACCTGAAACTGCCTCAAAAAGGCCTGCCGAGGAATCTGCGGAGAATGGCTCCAAGCGGTCCCGCGTTGATGATGCTTCCTCGTGAACAAGATGCTCTTGTGTCCTCTGACTAAACCGGAATGTTCCTTCTCTTTTATACGTCCTAAGACCCATCTAAATTACCAGGGTGTTAATGAATTCAATGAATCAGATTCCGTGCAGAAATGCCGGGCTTTTCAAAAAGAAAATAGATCATAGATCGCGAGCTCTTGTTTGCTGGAATTATAGTGGATTCATATCCAATGAGAAGAAAAAAAAGACAAGGCTGTGCAAAAGGGTATCATATCACATTATGCAATGGCCTCATCCCACAAGGTCCATCCCCCAGATTTCCTACGGCTTATGAGATTCCCCACATCGCAGGACGACGTTTAATCTCACGGTTTCTTCGGCGTGCAGCAAGTCCAGGGCTCCATATTCCAGCGAACAGGTCCTCGCACTCATCTTCGTCCTGGCTGTCAAACTCCGTATCTGCTGGGCTAGACTCGATTTCATGCTGGTGATCGGCTTGCAGAGTCTGATCCACACCAGGTGAAGATTCCCAGCATGAAGAGGCGGCGATTTTCTTAGTTTCCAGAATGAACTTGCCAACCTTGTACCGTTGTGATTCTTCTTCCGCTGCAACATACTTCCAACCCAAGACACAGTCACAGAATGTGCAGCTAACATCGCTCACTGTATGTGCTCCCGTGACAAGCTGACGAGGAACTGGACGCTGCAATATCGTATTGGGGAGAGAGGTTGTTGGCGAAGACGAGGCGCTGACCGACACAGCAGTAGCTACTGGCTCCGCCGACACAAGATAGGCACGGCCATGGCGACCTGTGAACCCTTTGCTAATAATTTGGGAGGTCCAGCACAGATGTGAGGCACAGCCTGCACAGCGCAGGTAGGAAACATGGCCGTCGAGATACTTCTCGGTCTTTGTGTTTTGGGGTCTGTGGTCCGTTGGAGAAAGCCCCGCACTACGTTTTGTAGAAAACACTGCAGGAAGGAGGAATTTGGGGAACTGGAGAGACTTGACGCGCTCCTTCGACATTTTGGGGTATTGTTTAAGCAGAAGGCTTCACTCTGAGGAGGACCTTAAAAAGGTTTTCCCAAGATGTGGGAGTGATACCCAGGTCAAGAGGTGAAGTTTAGGTGAGGTCATATATGACTTATCTCTTATCTTATCCATGCGGCTTTTGATTCCGCAAAAGCGGGGGAAAGTGACATTCTCATTAGAACATATACTATGTGTATACAATATATATAACTATATATCGTAATAAAGCACAGTACGCATGAAAACTAAATGAAAATAATGAAGCAATACTCGATACTCAGAATAAAAGGGATATCTGCCTTGCGCAACAAGCTCAAGCATCAACATACAAAAAAAAAGAGAAAGAAAAGAGAGAGAGAGAGATATAAACCCCTATCCAAACCGATGTAAACGAATCATGGATACTATCCCTAGACTTCAGCAACCAAGAAGAGCCATTTATTACTAAGGCATGACCCTTGGTTACCGCATGGGACCCAGGGTGTCAAGGTGGTGAGGTTGAATCCACACCATCCTAGACTTCGCACGAGCTCCATTTCATTTGTGCGCTGGGAACGAATGACACAGGCAACTATTTGCGAGCACCCAAAGGTGGCAATATCGGCAAGTTCAAACAGAGCGATCAAGCTGAGGGCAAAAGTCAGCGGATGAATCAAAAACACATACACAGGCCTGCCACTAAACAAAAGGGGAAAGCCTTGACTTGTCCAAAGAAACACAAGGAGTGTATACATACCCTGACTTGAGGCCATGTTCAAGTGCACGGTCCTCGAAGAAAACGAACAATGTCCGCTCCTTATTGTGTTCAGCCACAAATCCGCGGTAAATAGCATCACTAGAGTAATCCCACACTTCTATCCATCGCTGGATTTGACTATGCTGGTTCCCGATTTGATTTGACTGGATGTTTTGAAACGCATCCATCCCCAGTGACTCCTGTCCCACGGAATTCCTCTCACCCAGGAATGTCGCAGACAGTCTGTCACAGAAGAGTCTCTCACACTCTTCCGGGATGTTATGCGTCGCCTCCCCCTTGTACTCTGGCTTATTTCCAGGCCAGATTCGTTCCGCGCGGGAATCGAGGATGTCGTGGGGAGGACTTAGAAGAGACGGTTTAGTCCCCGAAGGGACCTCAGGGATACCACTGTACCCCTAAATTTCAATATTAGATCTCGAGCAACATGGATACGATTTGGGGGTTACGAGATACTTACCGGCGCCCAGGGTAGTGCAGTAGTGGAAGCCGTGGACCTTGGAGGTCGACGACTCAGCACTGTAGCAAGTAGCGAGAACGGTGCTCTGGGAGTCTTGGTCGAGGAACCGCTGCATTTGATTGGAATTACTACTGTGGTTATTCATATACTTCGCCATGATAGTTGATCTTTCAGGTAATTGTTCTGGGAGGGATTGATGGATGGTTGTAGGTCAAGATATCGAACTAGATCGAAATTTGAAATTTGGAGTGAGTGGGGAAGACACGATGAAGACGGTTGGTTTTTTTGGGGGTTTTTTGGTTTTGGTAAGGAAGAATTCAAGTGGTCTTGATGTTGAACAGAGGAAAGTGAGGGAAGTTGGACGATGTGGATGGATGTGGACGGTAGAAGTCGAGAGAGAGACGGTGTGAATTGGGCGTTTTCCCCCAGTCACCTGACTACAGCATATATTCCATGCAGAAACTTAGTAATCGCCGGCTAATAGCCCTGGAGCCCTGGAGGATCATAACTAATTAGCTACATACTAACTAACTAACTAGTTAACTATGTAACTAACTAGTTGGTTAACTACAATAACTAACTAGTTACTGGGAAGTTATATGGTATAGTCAATGTGCAATCGGGGCTTTTCTGATTCCACAAATTCTTTCACATTAGTCGACCCTTCGAGGAATTCGTCTGAAGGTATACCTCCAACCGCTCCGCTCCGGAAGTAATGGCGATCAGCGTTTTTAAAAGTGGCTGTTATTCGCGAATACGTCGGCCTTGTCTAAGTGAAACTATTAGCTAACTCTTTACCCGGTCGAGGTCGTGGTTAATACTTTGCGATCAACTGTTATCCAGCCGACCTCCCGATTCTAGAACCTATTCATCTTATTAGCCGGTGATCGTAACTTCCCAAATGGCGACGAGGTCCCTAGTATACCAATATGAGACATGATAGCATGTAGTCCACGGTCCGATAGAGAAGAACTAAGTACCATTTTGTTGGTTTAACTGTATCTGTGTCGATGACTGTATCCAGTTTAATTGACCGTATTGCGCTTAGGGGATAAATGTTGGGTTGGGTTGCTTGATTGTCGTCTGGATTTCACCAGATAATCATCGATAAGGTCATGTTCACGTCCGTATTCAAGTACCTAAGTATTTATGTATTGCGACCTTCTAGGGATCTTTGTGTTTAGTCGTATTTACCGGCTAAATATGCCATCGGCCACATAACTCTGTGATTGGTTCATATTGCCAGTAGTAATTTAGATCTACTAATGTTGTAGATGCTTAAAGATGTCTGAATACCTAGATTATAAGGTTATGGGTATAGGGACTTCTAAAGTGAATCTAAATTAAATCTGAATTGAATCTGAATTGAATCGTCCAGATTACGGGATCTGGTACGGAGTACACGAGGCTATATGCCTCAATATCCTAATTGTGGAGGCCAAGAAGACCGATATCGACAGCGGCGTTGCCCAGGCCCTAGGCTATATGGGTAAGTATCTCACAATATCTATCATATTATATATCAGGAAGCTAACCCGTCTAAACGACTGTATCCATCGGGAAAGGAAGAGATTCCCAAAGAGAGACTCGACCGTGTATGGAATGGCATCAAACGGGTCAGCGTTCTGGTTTCTTAAAATTTCGAATGATTCCAAGGTAAGCTCTTCTAATCCACTCCCTCCTATGGTTCTAACCTCTACTAGTGGTCCGAGCACGTTGTTACTGTGCGGGATAACAACTACGAGCGTGCTCTTGGGCTGCTCGTTTACCTATTTCGCCGGGCAGCCTTTAGATCCCCAACCCACTCGAAGGAAAGCTCTGCCCAGTCCCATGACCGGGAGGAGTCCGACGGACCCGTTGGCGCTCTGGGCGCTATAAATGAGGATGTTGAGATGAAAAACTGAGTTTTGATCTGTTCCGTGTCTTCGACTCTTCCTGTTTTGCCTCATATTTTATCTTTATACGGTACCATATGTTACCGTAGCTAGCTTCGAGACTACATATATATGTAGTGGAATACATCATCTCTTACCATACCATCAACTTGTACTATCCCATACCCCTTAGTTATCTCATCCGTAATATGATAGAAAGTCAGTCAGCAGAATCCAGCTAGGCTACGGTTATCAATATTAATTATGTCCTCACATTTTTTTTCCATTAGTTATTATTATTCTGATTTTTTTTTCTTTTCATATCGTATACATGATTTCTAGTCGTTCAATTCTATAGGTGTGTGTTATAAAATGATCAGAGTATTAATACCCAACGGAGAAAACTGTAAGATCGAAGGTTATACATATATATTCATGTCTAAGCCCCGTCAAGCCCCTAGGGAGTGCTTAAGAGAGAAAACAATTAAAGGTTGGATTATTCTTATTGCGGCTATGGTAGTAGTAGTACACATTCTGAAGAAGGTAAAAAAAAAAAAAAAAAAAAAAGAGAAAAGAAACCTCCCAGGATGACATGAGAGAATGAGAAATAAACATAGAAAGAAAGGGGGGAAAGGGGTGGAAAGACCGCTCTAGATAATATGCATATTCACAGTGTACTAGGAAAGCCATAATACAAATCCGAATAAGCCATGGTCAGCACTTGGCTATTCAGAGCTCCCTGTAATCGCTAGGCCGAACTCGTCGGTTTCGAGCCTGATGACGTTGCGGATTCACAGGTTGACGAAAATAGGGTGAATCTTCTTCCCGGGAGTATGGTGTGCTGAAAGCCGTTCGCTGCTGATTTGAGAAGTTGTTCATTCCAGAGTTTGATCCCTGGAAGCCATTCTGGGGCATGGGGAACATCATTGAAGGGTCACCATTGAACATATTGGGAAATCCGTTGGGCATCCCACCATTGCTTTGATCGAACATTCCAGCTTGAAGGGAATTGAAAGGCATGTTCATGGGATTCCATCCCGGGCCCATGCTACTGGGAAAGCCATTAACAGGCGCCATCGCCATGGGATTCATAAACCCCATGGATTCATTACCGAACCCAGGAGCCGAGAAAGGCATGATAGGTATGCCTTGCATTGGTCCAAAGCCGTTGAAGGGCATCTCCTGATTATTAAAATTTGCTGGAGCAACACCAGGCGCACCGTCTTGAACGCTATTAGCCTGAGGTGGGACGTCGGAATGACCGTCATCTGCCTTCTGTTTCTTTGGCACATTACCCAGCTCGGAGTTTGCAGTTTCATGTCGGCTGGTAGGCTCATCCTCAGCAGGTCTTTTCTTGGATTGTGTGGGCGCTGTCTCTGGAATTTGATTGGGCGGGCTCTGCTCTTTGTTGGCGGAAGATTCCTTGGGTTCGGCTTCGGAGATTTCGGGGATAGGAGTACCATCCGGGCCTGCGGGGATCTTTTCCTTCTCTTTCTTGGCTTCAGCCTTGTCGGCTTCATATTCCTTAATCTTTGATGCAGATTCATCATCGGGAGTGAGGTTATCAAGTAGGACCCCCTCAGTAGCACATCCCGGGCAAACAAAGTCACTTTCAATCAAGGCATTTGAAATACAATCATTGCAATATGTCCTCTGGCAACATGGTGTCTTTGTTGGCTCTAAAAACATCCTCTTGTCAATTGGGCACTCTAGACCTCGAGCTTGCAACGCTTTGCTCTCCTCGGCTGCTGCTGCTTCGGCTGCTGCTGCGGCCGATGCCTTCGCCTTTTCTTGATACAGTTCCCAGGCTGCTTTGTCTGGCTTGGCAATGACAAAGTCACCATCAGCATTCACCATAACCCCGGTATTCCTTGAGTCTTCAGTAGAGCCATCGGGGGCCAGGGATTCTGGTTTGTCGACTTTGGTTTGAAGTGAGCGTGGTATGCCGGTTGATCGCTTGACTCGATATTTGCCGTCAAACTTGGGGTCGTTATTCGTAGGGCATGCTTGGATCCAGTGGCCTGTATAAAAGGTTAGCGGTCTGTGGGTGTGGTGATTGAGCTAGAGGTGCATACCTTTTTCCCGGCAACGATAGCAAAGATACCCTGGAGGTGGGGGGTGGTCGGGTACATTGACGGGTTTCCCTCTGCCACGACCAAACGGTACGGGTGTTGCGCTAAATGAAATCAATATCTCCAATATAATCGAGAATCCGGTTGAGAGTGCTCTTACTTTGCCATTTCTTGTTGTTGCTCCTGCCATTGGCTAGCCTGTAGGTTGAAAAGAGCGTTGATCTTCTCTTCTTCTGTTTGTGCATTATTGAGTTCGAGGACGTTGTTGTTGACGGATTGCCCCGTTCCGGGTGCTACTCGGCTCATCGAGGGTTCGTTGCGAGGGGCACTGCGAGCATTGACTGGCATCTTGCCTGAAACATAACGAGCAGCACCGCCCTTCCCTGGGCGCGCTGCGGGTAATCGGCGGGCGATCACGGAAGTCGACCGAGGGATTATGGTGGTGTCATCGTCGTATTCTGTTGAATGTCAGAATAATTCCTGTTAATAAGGAGTAAATGAAGCATATTTGAACAGAGTAACATACCCTCTCTGGTGTCCTCGTTGTAGATCGAAAGCTCAAAATCACTCCCATCGCCCAATCTACTTTGGCTGATAATCTCTCTTTTGAGCTCAAAGACCGAAATACCAGTGCCATCGAAGGTGACCCTTGAGGGTTCTTTCTGGGACTTGAATTTGAAATGAACGGACGATGACATTGTATTCAATTTGGGAGGGGAGGTGATGCAACAAAGATGGCCGCAGGTGTATAAGAACCAGATTTAGAGGCACCGCCGCCGTGTACAGTGAGAATAGGGGATAATAGAGGGAAAAGAAAAACTCGTGAGATGAAGTGAAACTGGTGTATCACCAGTCACAACAAAAAGAAAGAAAAGGTCCAGAAACAGATTTTATCTGTTCAAGTGACAGAGAAAGCACGAGATAATTTTTTTTAAGAAAAAGAAAGCAGGGATCAATAGACCACTGAGACAATGGAATGTGTGAATGAATCTTTTTTGAATGCTGAATGGTGAGTGTTCAGGTCACTGCATACAAATGGAGATCAAAGAATTGATGAATACGATGATCGAAGGAACACACTGGCGCTGAATAAAAAAAGGTGTATTCAAGAGAGATTGATGGTCTGCCCTGTCCTTCAAGTGATTCGTAGAGCCACCCTAGCACCCTGACCTGTGTGATTGGACCTGTCTGGGGATCCTTGTAGACACCAAATCCAGTTATAGAGAGACCCTGTTAGGAATGAGCAAATCCACTGTCAAACAAGCCCTGGAGACCGTGTCGCAGTTGTTAGGTAATGTGGTTGATCACGAGACCGAATACCATCGAATGGTAAAACAGAAGACCGAAATTTCGTAAGGAAGTTAGGAGAAATAATGGACGCGCGGAGATGGTGAGGTTGGGAACGGTGTTTTTTGTTTTTCGTAGCACAACGCAGGTTATTGACTGAGGGGAGAGGAGAAGGTGAAGTGGCAAGTGAGGAAAAGTCAGATGATTTGGATCCTGCTTCCACCGCCTTCTAGACCGCTTTTGATCAGTGGGTGTTACCACGTGACCCTCTAAGCCCCGGAATAATATACTAACTATGACTACTTAGGTAGTTAGTTAGGTATATATAACTAGTTAGTTATTATATCTGTCCACTATCTGAATCATTCTAGCACTGTTTACTATACTCTGTGGCACCGAGGCCGTCCAAGTATCCAGGGCATGGAATTCATTATCTCAAACATATTGTATATGTGAATTTTATTTGAACTGTATACATACTAATCTTGGTTGATGGGCTCCATCCTCATGATCTCCATCTTCTATTCTCGTATAAAAACATAAAAGTTGCAAAAGGTGCCCCCATGTGAAAATATCACACTTTCGATACAGCCGAGTCTTTAGATCTCAGCCTCAAATTGGCGGACCAGGAATCCCTCAGTTTGCAGGTGGTCTTTCACTTGAGTCACAGTATATTCACCGCGATGGAACTGGGACAGGATTAGAAAGGCCGTTGCGAGAGAGAAGATACTTGGAAGAATATGAACTTACCATGCCTGCCCCCAATGCTGCATCAGTGGTGGTTTTGTTGAAGACCTCTGCAAAGTGCGCAGGTACTCCAGCCCCACTTGAAGCAATGACGGGAATCTTGATTGAAGCCTTGACATCTCTGATTAATTCCATATCAAATCCACTGTTGCTTCCATCTTTATCAATGCAATTCAGAAGAATTTCACCAGCTCCCATGGCCTCAACAGCCTGTACAAGTTGCCGCACATCGATATCGCGTGTTTCTCTGCCACCTTTGACGGTGCACTGATACCAGCAGAAGCTTTGCCCATTTGAGTTGGGGAACTGGGTTTTAATTGTGTGGTGGTGGGTGTCTTCTGGCTTATCCACATATACCCGCTTGGGGTCGACACTCACCACAACAGCCTGTTTTCCATAGGCTTTGGATATCGTCTCGATTGCTGTTTGGCCAGTCAATTTCTCACCGGCGTTGTAGTAGTCCTCAGCGGCAAAGACAGAATCGGAGCCAACACTGACTTTATCGGCCCCGGACTTGAAATACATCGTTGCCACATCCAGAGCAGGGACCCGGGTGCCATCAGTATCGACGGTGTCTTTGATTCCTCCGCCGATAGTCAAAGGCACAAAGACTGTCTCCGATGTTCGTCGCAGAATTTCAAGCATGGGCGTATCAGCAATAGGACAGTTTCGGAAAGAAGTGATGTTCAAAAATGTCACTTCATCCGCTCCTTGCTCATAATATTTCTTAGCCATATCAACAGGCTTACCAAGGTTACGAACGCTGCCGCCGGCGTCTGCTCCACTCTTCTCCCGGACATCATACTGGTCACCCTTGGTGACAACCAAGTCACCAGAGTCGTTTGTCCGAACATCAAGGCAAGCAATAACGCGACGAGTGAGCCCATTTTCTTTGCCAGTGACCAGGTCCTTTGAGAGCGACTG